CATTTATGCAGTGTGCAGGGAGAATGCCATTGGGGAAGCACAGCAAGAAAATGGTTTTGTCATCTTAAAGGGAGCTACTTTGACCTGAGTGATTCTCTACTCAGAAAGACCATCAAGCTTGAATGAAGACCATTTAAACGCTTTTATCCACAGTGATCCACATCAGTCAGCCCAAGAACTGGCAAATGTGCTGAACTGTGACTCAGTCAACCATTGTGCAACATGGTGTTCCATGGGCAAGCAAAAATGCCATGGACTTATACATCAATCCAATAGTTTGACTTTATCTTGGTGGATTTCAACAGGGGAGTGTTAAAATCAGGCTTGCAGCTTAGAAAGGATTCTTTTGGCTGTGGCTGTGGGCAGGACAGGAAGCAGGGGCAAGTGACAGGAGAGAGGATGGTGCTGGAAGCCTTGTCACAGTGGATGAGGACGGCAGTGGAGGGAGGACCGACAGGCACAGTGTGGACCGGATGTGTTGACTGAAGAGGATGCAGGTGTTAGTTGACAATGCCCCATTTCTTGCCTGAGTAGGTGGTTAACCGGGATGTTGGTAGTGATGTCTTCTCCAAAGCAGGAAACACAGGAGGAGGCAGCAGGTTTGATGTGGAAGAGAGAAAAGTCGGTTTGCTTGTGTTGAGTTTCAGATAAGGTCCGTGGAACATCTTCCTGGGGAGGGGTGTATAGGGAGCCGAGGGCGCAGGTGTAGGGGGTCAGTGGCATACAGGGATGGAAAGGGAAGCCCTGAGGGTCCTTGAGAGCACCTGGGGTCAGGGGAGGGTACAGGCCGACACAGGCCCAGGGTAAAAGTAAGGGTTGTCATCTATAGATTATAAGCTTGAGAAGAAGATGCTCCTAATTTTAGGTTCTCTCTCTCTGTTTTTTTTTTGTTTTGTTTTGAATTGAACTCTTATTTTGTCACCCAGACTGGAGTGCAGTGGCACACTTATGGCCACTGCACTGTGGCCTTGACTTGCTGGGCTCAGGCGATCCTTTTGCCTCAGCCTTCCAAGTAGCTGGAACTCCAGGTACGTGCCACCATGCCTGGCTAATTTTTCTTGATTTATTGTAGAGATGAGGTCTCACCAGGTTGCCCAGGCTGGTCTTGAACCCCTGGGCCCAGGCAATCCTCTCACCTCGGCCTCCCGAAGTGCTGGGATTACAGGCACCTGGTCTTAGGTTCTCTTAAGCATTTTATGTTTTTATTTAGTTATCTATATATTTATTTATTTAATTGGAATCTCACTCTGTTGTTCAGGCTGGAATGCAGTGTCCTGGGCTCAGGTGATCCTTTCACCTCAGCCTCCCACGTAGCTGTGACTATAGGTGTGCACCACCACTCCCAGCTAATTTTTTAATTTCATTTTTTATTTTTTCATTTTTTGTAGAGAGGAGGTCTCGTTATTTTATCTAGGCTGGTTTCAAGCAATCCTTCAATCCTCTTACCTTGGCCTCCCAAAGTGCTGGGATTACCGGCTTGAGCCACCACACCCTGCTCACTTGAACATTTTAAATATCTTCATTTGGCATCACAGTGCTGCATGGCTCTATTTGATCAGTAACAGGACTATAGGACTTCTCTCCCATGATCTCCATTCATGCTCCTGTTTTCCTTTTCACATCTGACATCTTTGTAACACTGAGTCAATCATGAAATATAGATAAACAAGAGTCCCTGCTATGAATTCTGATAGTTGGGTAACATTGCCCTAAAATGCTGTTATTTATGAATTATCTCTTATTCTTCAATTATTAGAATGATGTTGAAGTTAAATTTTAAGTTTTTAATTTTGTGCTTCTCTAAAGGATATAAAATAGAAACCAGAAGCTTAAATACTGTAAATAAAAGCAGGACAACCTTGCTGATGGTGGGAAGGGAGGGTGGTGGCACATCACCATAACTTCCAGGGGGACTTTGAAATGGCTTGCAGGAAGTCTGAGCATTCTAAAGAGCTCAGGCTGAGTGCCAAACCAGTGCTTTTAGTGTTTTCTAGCTAAGGAAAGTGGTATCTGAGTTTCCTCTGGGCTAAGTGATCTGCCCTCTGTCCCACTGCCAGTCAGGGAAGAAATGGAACTGGTACCGGCACCTCCTGATTTCTGGTCTCTGCTGTTTTGGTAACATGGTAACGTTGACTTAGACAACCACTTCTGTTAGTTGCCGTCTACTATCCCTCACACCGCTGCTCTCACACTCTGTGTTATTGAAAGTGAAAAGAAAGTGGCAGGGAAAAGAAAATAAAGAGGTATGTTCCCAGATGTCAAAGCCCCTGGCAAGTCACACCAACAGCAGGTGCCCTGACATTTTCTGAGGAATGTTCTGTCTGGTTGTTAATTAGTCAACATCTCTCTCTTTTTAAGCTGCTTCCAGGCCAACTGTGACTCTCAGTGTTACAGGACTTTAGCATGTCCGTTTCATTTGTCATTCCTGGGACAGTGACACATTGAATTTCATAATTGTTTATTTTAAAAGTTAGTAAGCTAAAGTGTATTCTTGCTTTATGAAAAGTGAAAAGACTCTCAGAGGCTAAGAATTTTGTTTGGGGAGCCTCTGAATGAGTCTTTAGTAGACTTGATTCCATTGTAATGATAGTGTACCATTTCTTTGAATTTGCTGAGTCCTTGGCACTCTATTTGATGTTTCATTTTGTGAATCAACAAACAGTTAAAAGGGGTGATGACATTTGTCAGAGTTTTGGTGCTAATGGGGGCTGAGTGTGTGCAGAGATGCTTCAGCCTTCTGCATTGCTGGGTGCGTTCATTCCGGGACTGCCTCTGGCCCACCCTTCTGTTCAGTCGCCATCTGCCAGTATCGGCCTCTTGGGAGTCTTCTCTTTACCATTTGAGCTCTCTCACTCCAGTGTCCTCCTCTGTAAACTGCTCTCCCAAGGTGTCTGTGTGTCTAACACTCTTCACTGAAGTTTGACTGAGTGGGATGGAGGGGAGAGAGGGTGTGGGAGAGGGGAGGGCACGAGAGTGGAGGCTGTTCTATGACAGCAGAATGAGCAACTTGAGAACTTAGCATTACATGCTTCTGTTTTTTAAATTGCATTGCAATTCTGCAGTGGCCACATTTGTCTAAAAGCCTGGAGTCCCCACCACTCACCAGCATACACCTGTGACTTCTCTTCATGTAGTCTTAGAAATCAGTTTGGGTTTTAAATAACTTTTTGTTTTGTTTGTTTGTTTCTTGCGTCAGAGTCTCATTCTGTTGCCCAGGCTGGAGACCAGTGGCACACTCACAGCCACAGCAGCCTCGACCTGCTGGGCTCATGCGATCCTTCTGGCTCAGGCTTCCAAGTAGCTGGAACTACAGGCATGTGCCAGGCTAATTTTTTGATTTATTGTAGAGCCGAGGTCTTTCTATGTTGCTTAGACTGGTAACTTTTATTTTTTTTTGAGTTGGAGTCTCACTCTGTCACCCAGGCTGGAGTGCTGTGGCATGCTTGGAGCCACCCCAAACGTCTACCTGCGGCTCAGGCGATCCTTCCACCTCAGCCTTCCAAGTAGCCAGAACTACAGGTGTGTGCTACCATGCCCAGCTAATTTTTGATTTATTGTAGAGACGAGGTCTTGCCAAGTTGCCCGGGTGAGTCTCAAACCTGCAGACTCAGGCAATCCACTTGCCTCTACCTCCCAAAGTGCTGGGATTACAGGCTGAGCCACCGATCCCAGCCTTTTTTTTTGAGTTGTATGGTACAGGTGGGGATTTACTACTTAAGTAAGTTGCATGCAGGTGAAGTTTAGGCTTCTGGCAGGCCCTCTCCCCTGATAGTGGACCAGGTACCCAGTGTGTTGCCACGTGCCACATCCTCCAGGTTGCTGCAAAATTCATGATTTTGTTCTTTATGGTTGCATAATATTTCATTGTGTATATGAACCACATTTTCTTTATCCAGTCTACTTTAGATGGGTGTCTGGGTTGGTTTCATGTTTTTGCTATTATGAATAGTGCTGCAGTAAACATGCATGTGCAGGTGTCTTTTTCATAGAGTTATATATTTTCCTCTGGGTATATTCTTAGGAGAGGAATTGCTGGATCATATGGAAGCTCAATTTTTAGTTTAAATAACTTTATGAAAATAATCTCACCACCAAAGCAAATGTATTTGAGCATAGTTTACCTATCTACAGAATAAAAATGATGTCAATTTAACCTGCTTCATGGGATTGTCTCTTGAGGAGATGATAAAAATTATGGAAGTTAAAAAATGTTTTAAGAGGACTGTATTAAAAAAATGTGGTACGTATACATGATGGAATACTACGCAGCCATAAAAAAGAACAAAATCACGAATTTTGCAGCAACCTGGATGGAACTAGAGTCTATAATACTGAGTGATTGCTCACAGAAACAAAGATCTGAGTATCACATGTTCAAGCTCATATAGTGGACCTTGAACATTTACCATAATACTATAAAAAAAGGACTGACAGTGGTGGGTAACTATGGGGGGATAGGGAGGGGAAGGGAGGTGGGACTAACGGTAGTCAATATCTGTCTGGGGATGAGGAGTCACCCCTTATTAACAAGGGTGCCTGAACGATGCACATTTGTATACCTAACCCTTAACTGTACCCCACAATTTTATAATAAAAAATATGTTTAAAAAAATGCTTTAAAAATATATAGATATAGTGCTATGCTTGTGTAAGATATTACTGTTAGGGTTGATGCTTTGATTGTAATCAAATAATAGCTAATCAGAATCTACGTGGAAATACCCAGTCGGGTATCAAAACAATATCTGATGTTTTGGGGGTAAATTTCTGATTTAGAAAACAGTATGAGCTTCTTTTATTTCTGGTAATCCTTTATATTTTGATAGACTTTAGCAAAGGTAATCAAACTTTCTTAACAAGGAAGCATAACAGTGCTTGAAAAGTCAAGATAAGTTATTCATTTTGGCTTATGTAACTGAGACTTGACACATTGAGTGTCAGGCATGCACTTTTGTAAACATTATTTTGCAAAGTGATTTTTTTTGTAATTTTAGGAAACAGATATTGATGACAGATATGGAGATCTGGATTCCAGAACAGATTCTGATATCCCAGAAATCCCACCATCCTCAGATAGAACCCCTGAGATTCTCAAGAAAGCTCTGTCTGGCTTGTCTTCAAGGTATGATTGGGTAGAGATGACTATATCTTGGTGCACGAGATAAGCTTGGAGGCAATACTTGTCTGTGTAATGAGTTTGACTCTTTGTAAATTTTGAAACTGTGAAATAGAAGATGCACAGCTCCTGTAATCCTTAACATCTTATGAAGTATGAGAAGGCCAAGTCTTAGATGTTAACTGGTGATGGTCGTAGAGATGGAGAATACAGACCTGGGGGTCTTGTCTCGGGCTGTGGACTGTCAGAGCCAAAGCCAGTGATCTAATTACCATGTCAGGTTGTTTTTTTCTGTTGGTAGAACACATAATAAAGAAAATTCCATATTCTCTGTTCCCTATTTTTCAAATGTCAGACTGAAAAAGATAACTCTTTCCTTTTAACTGAGTTTAAAGTTATTTTTCTAAGACTTCACAGATCATTACCATTTTATATTTGTGCTATATTTAAAAATGTTTAATGACCACAACACTTCAGTTAATTTTGTGTTATTTCCCCTTATATGCTTTAGTTATATGAATTATAAAAATAATAAAAGCAAAGTAAATGTAAGCTTTTGTCCAGATATGTGAAATGTTGCATATTGGTGTAGAACAGTATTTTCTCAACTTTTTTTGACTATGTTGTACATTTTACATCATATCCTAAGACACACACAAATGTGTATTTCAACTGCTGCAAAAATGTTATGAAGTAATTCTTGCTGTTTCTGTGTGTGGTGCCCTCTGCTTGCTTTCTTTTCTTTCTTTTTTAAAAATTTCCTTATCAGATTTATTCATATAGTTTTAAATGAGAAAATGCCCAGTGCTTGAAGAATCCAGCAAAATTATTCTAACAATGTTTATAGAAAGGAAAAAAATTATAAGGCACTTACATTTTGTACCTCAACAAGAAAAGCAGAAATATTGATCTTTCAAGCAGTAATCATGTTACTGATTATTTCCACAACAAATCATTTAAAGAACAATTAAGCATGTGAACAGTTCTATGAGGTGCTCTCTGCTTTCCTTTCAGTTTGATGCTGTCCTTTGTTATTGAGCAAAAAATACTGGCTGCAACTTTCTAAATTGATTCAGTAGTAATCTGCAGTTTGAAAATCACTGGTTTAATCATATCTAGTCAGTGTAATATGAGTTTGTATCTTTTTTTACTTTCTGGAGGATAAATTGGTTCAAAGCAAAACTTTCATATTTTTTAACCAATAGAAACCTTTGCTGTCTATTTAAAAGCATAGTTATTATTTTAATAGTTTTTGTTCCCAGTTGTTTTCATGACCTAGTTCACAGACATACCTTTGCTCGAAAATCTCATCAGGTCTATCTCAGACCTGAAGTATTTTATAGTTAATATTCTATAAGAATGATGCTGGATTCCTGTGTGTCATTTGTAACAAGATCTTCCTTAATAATGAAGAATTTTTTTCCTGGTACAAAGTAACACTAGCAAATACCAGTGGCTAAAACATGCCAGAACTTACTTAGCATATATTAAGTGCTAGGCGCTGCTCCAGGCACTTTAAACATACTGAGTAATTTATTCTCACAGCAATGTAACACAGGTATATAAATGAGGAAACCGAGGCATGCAGATATTATCCATCAAGGGTCATGTGGCTTCAGCGCCCGTGTTCTTACCTGTGCTGTTTGACAGAATTGGTTTGAAAAAAATGAACGGTAGGTAGATAACAGTTTCAGTCTTCTCAAGAAACTTTTCTGTGGGGATTATGTGAATGTTGCAAAAATGTTTGTCTTATTTTTTTAATTCTGTTTTCTAATACTAAAAACAGATTGCCTTGCAGAGACTTAGAATGTATAGATATGGAAGATTAAAAATATAATTGCTTAAGAAATTTACATGACTTGTATGAAAAAATCCTATAATCCTCCTACCAGAACATTAACATTTAAAATACTTTTGTGTTAACTCCTTGAAGCTTTTTTCTTGTGCATTATGTGTGTGTGTGTATAAATGTAAAAATGGGATTGTACTGTTTTCTACCGTGCTGTTTTCATTTTCATTCCATGGTATTATTGGGGGCAACACTTCATGTGCTTAAATATACTTTCTGTCTATCTATCTAATTTATCTATCTGTTTATTTGTTGGTCTTACTGTAGAGCATCACCCAGGCTGGAGTGCAGTGGTGTGATCATGACTCACTGCAGCCTCAAATTTCTGGCCTCAAGAGATTCCCCTTCCTAAGCTTCCCAAGTAACTGGGACTATAATTGTGCACCACCAAACCTGGTTAATCTTTGTTTATTTTTTATTTTTTGTGGAGATAGTGTCTCTGTATGTTTCCCAGGCTGGTATCGAGCACCTGGCCTCAAGCAATCCTCCTGCCTCAGCCTCCAAAGTGCTGGGATTACAGGCATGAGCCACCATACCCAGCCAGGAACATTTTTAATGGCTCATGATATGTTTTGTTGTCTGGCTGTAGGCCAGTTTATCCAACTGACCACCCATTCCTGTGCATTTAGTTTATTACTACATTTTCACAATTTAGCATTACATGTTAAACATTTTTTTTGTAGCTGACTTTTTTTTAGCATACATAATTATTTTCTTAGGATAAAATCTTAAAGATGAAATTGCTTGGTCAAGGTTTATACCCATTTTCAAAGCTTTACTCTTTACTCCCCCAAAAAAGCATTGGCTGCTGGAATTGAGAGGCCGAAAGGGTCTTCATTCACTTGATAAGTTGTCCTGTCTATTTCTTGATCTGCGTGTGGGAGAATACTCATCAGCCAGTTAAGTTCAGCTTTCTCCTCTAGTGAAGCTCTTCTCTAGTGGACATTTGGCAGTGTGTGGGGACATTTTAGCTTATCACACCGAGGAAGAGGGTGCTACCGACCTGGTGGGTAGAGGCCAAGGAAGCTACTAAGCATCATCACAGGGCAGCCTCTCTCAACAGAATGTTGCTAGTGTTGAGTTTGGAGAACCCTGGAATTACCCAGGTGTAGCCTTACTCAAGCGCCTATGCTTTGTAATGCCAAATGCCTTCTCTCTGGGAACCTGCACACTTTCTGTTCACTTCTGCCAACATTTCTTTTCCTTTCTTTTTTTTTTCTTCTCTAGAGACAGGGTCTTGATGTGTTGTCCAGCCTGGTCTTGAACTCCTACACTCAGACAGCCCTCCTGCCTTAGCCTCTCAAAGTGCTGGAATCACAGACATAATCCATCACACTGAGCCTTTTTTTATTTATTTTATTTTTATTTTTTTTGAGTTGGAGTCTCACTCCGTCTCCCAGACTGGAGTGCAGTGGCCGCTCCCGGCTACCGCAGCCTCAACCTGCTGGGCTCCGGGGATCCTTCCGCCTCTGCCTTCCAAGTAGCCGGAACTACAGCGCTCGCTACCATGCCCGGCTGATTTTTTGATTTATTGTAGAGATGAGGTCTCGCCAGGTTGCCCAGGCGGGTCTCGAACCCACGGGCTCAGGCAATCTACTTACCTCAGCCTCCCAAAGCGCGGGATTACAGGCTGAGCCACCGAACCTGGCTATTATTTTTTATGTTTTTAGTCACAGGTCTTGCTCTGTTGCCCAGGTGGGATTACAGTGGTACAATCATAGCTCACTGCAGTCTCGAACTCCTGGACTCAAGCAGTCCTCTCTCCTAAGAGATGGACTTTCTCAAAACTCATGCTCTCTGCCAGGTGGCCCACAAAGATTCTACTTATTCTTTAGTACTGTCTCTGGCTTCTAATTCTTGCCAGCCCAGGTTCTTGTTGACTCATAATCATGGGTCTCGAGGAAAATACTTTTTGAAAACCTCATCAGCCGGGCTCGGTAGCTCAGCCTGTAATCCTGTGCCTTTGGGAGGCTGAGGTGAGTGGATTGCCTGAGCCCGCGGGTTCGAGACCCGCCTGGGCAGCGAGACCTCATCTCTACAGTAAATCAAAAATCAGCCGGGCGTGGTAGCGTGCGCCTGTAATGCCGGCTACTCGGAAGGCTGAGGCAGAAGGATCGCTGGAGCCCAGCAGGTCGAGGCTGCGGTGGCCGGGGACGTGCCCCTGCACTCCAGTCTGGGTGACAGAGTGAGACTCCAACTCAAAAAAAAAAAAAAAAAAAGAAAAGAAAACCTCATCATTACTTTGAAATAAAAACCACATAATAGTTATAGTAACAATAAGGCACTGTATACCACATAACTAATTTGAACAACAAATGTGTTACTACTTAAGATAATTACTTAAGAACACTGCTTAGGCCGGGTGAAGTGACTCACACCTGTAATCCCAGCTCTCTGGGAGGCCAACATGGGAGGACTGCTTGAGCCCAGGAGTTCAAGATTGGCCTGGACAGCATAGAGAGACCTTGTCTCTATAAAAAAGAAAAGAAAACAAAACCATACTGCTTAATCATATACTTCGAAAAAACCAAGCTCTTATGGATCCTGGGGACATTGGATTGTATTGAGTTCCTTTACTCAAAACAATCTGTGGGGTGGGGCTTTGGTGTGATGACGTAAACCTAGAATTAAGGCTTTCCCTAATGTGATCATTGTAGCCAGGTAAATGAAAGTGAGAGTTTTGAATTCAGAACCAGATCATCCTCTGTTTTTTAGTAGCAAGGACTTCCTCCCCCCTGCCCCCCACATATTATGCTCTGTTTTGGATTCAGTACTCATCTCCAAAAGATGACTTTTAGTTACAGCACCAGTGGATATATTCTCTGTGTTTAAGTGTCTGTTAATCTTTTTTGTGCTTAACTTTTTATTAGGTATTCTTGGGAGATATGGAGGAAAGTCACTTAAATTAAAATAAGGGAATTAAGTCTTTTAATCTTGTTGAGAGAGGGAAATTTTTCTGTGAAGGAAAATAGCTATATAATAAAAACTGGATAGAATTATGTTCTTTGAGGGCCAGTTTTTGGTTACCATAGAATTTTGGGATGAGATAAAGTGAGTAGGTTCACTCTTTAAAATCTCTGGTTCTCAGCAGCTACCATTCTCTGAAGTTCAAAGCCAGACTTTAGAGGCATACCTGGGCGTTGGCAGCACCCATCTGGGACTGATTTTTTTTTGATACTTCTGTGCTCTTCTCCAGAAGAAATTCTTCATAATTCCAAGTCTGAGAATCAGTTCTAAAGGGGGTCTAAACATTGCTTCTGGATCTCCCACAGTCAGAACAGGATTATTATCCAGGGGGCTTATGGCTCTTCATTCACCTCTGACTAGATATTTGCCCAGCCCAGTTTCCTAGTTCATTCATTAATCCTTTTTTAAAATTAATTCACATTTATACCTGTAAAACTTAGTGGAATCTTTCAGTCATAGTGTTTTTTACTCTATCCCCATTTTTAGACCTGCTACCAATTTACATGGTTTGCTAAACAGTAGCAGGAAATTCAGTTGTGTAAGTTGAATTTGACTACCTCACGAAAACCCTTGGAAGCTCGAAAAAAAGTGTATGGACTTAATGTCATTGACATTTTAGACCCTTGAGCACAGAAGTGACCGAATGAAAGGGGCATCTGAAAAGTAGTAGTTTGTTGGAGCTATCAAAACCATGTAGGAGAGGGGCTGGAAGCAAGGGATGTAATCAGCAACTTACACATGGATAAAATCAGCTAATGTTTCTGTTCTAAGAAGGGAATGAGAACCTGTGCCTAGAAAACAGTGCATGTATGCTATCAGACTTTGAGTCAAAACCTCTTGTAGCATAATTTAAATGCTATCATTTGCATTGATAAAAATCACAAAAGTCTTTTTAAAAAGCAACAGCAATTTTAGATTCATCTCTGAATCATTATCTGCATGGAGGTGCATTCAGAATCACCATCCATGCATTTGAATCATTCTGGATTTTTCATACAGTGGCTGCCAGTATTTTTAGGACATCATCACATAAGGAGGGATAGTATTTGTATGGTATGCTGGGATGAAGTGTGAGACTCCTGGTGGCGGGAAGGAGGGGCAGCTGGATGTTCTAAGTCAAGGGAACTCAGTTCTTAGCACAGCAGAAACCAGCTAGGTATACTAGCAGAGGAGGTCTGCTCAAGGAATAAGGAATGACCCAAGGAAAGGAAGCAGGACTTGACCAGTAGTAGGATGAGTCCTCTATCATCCTTATCCTAAGTGACCCACCTCTCAGGTCAGTGGTGCCTTGCTCCTTTATCTCACTGAACTCTTTCCTGTATTATCTTTGATGACATTTTCTCATTGACAGGCCATGCTGTCTGTAAGTCATTATCATTTTCATTGACCAGCCTGAAGAACTGAGCCTCATCTTTTTTAGGGTGTTTGCACCTGTCTTGTTCTTCCTCCATGTGCTCCCTCATGGGTTGTATGACCTTCACAGCCACATGGACCACCCAACTCCCTAACCTCATGGTCCAGTATCACTCACATTAAACAGCAATTATTTTCTTTCTTTGGCTAATGTACATTTAAAATATAGTTTCTCTCTCAGTGAGTAAATGAATGTTGTTTTGTTTTTGTTTTGTTGTTTCTTGTTATTATATAAAGTAAAATAGAAGAGTCTTAAAGTTTAATTAGGGAAAATTCCAGCAACTCAACACTGAAACAACTCCAAAAAACTTTAAATACTAACTTTACAAACATTTTCTTTGTAGGTGGAAAAACTGGTGGATTCGTGGAATCCTTACTCTAACTATGATTTCACTGTTTTTTCTGATCATCTCTATGGGATCCTTCATGCTGATGCTGCTTGTAAGTCTTTGACACATATGACTGAAGTAATTTGAACATGTCATTAAAAGGAGGGTATCCAAGGCCTAGTAACAGTTTATTTGTCCCTTTATATACATGAGGGGACCCCCCAAAAACCTGGAATTAATTTATTGAAAAGTGTGTGTATTTATTCTTATATGTTTAAACTTCAATTACTTTCAAAGTACTCTCCGTTTGATGCAATACATCTATTGAGACATTTCTTCCACTGCTCAAAACAGTTTTTGAATTCATCAGTTTTGATGCCATTTAGTGCTTTGCCATTTTTTGTTTCATCACTTCCATAACAGTAAAATGTTTCCCTTTAAGGAATTTTTTCATCTGGGGAAAAAAAGGCACTTGTGGTGAGATTGAGTGAATAGGGAGGGTGGGGTATAGGTGTCATGCTGTTTTTGGTAAAAAAACTGAGAACACTCGGTGAGATGTGGCCAGGTTGTTCATGTAAATCATCCATCATGAAATGGGCAAACACATTGAAAGAATTTCCAAAAAAAAATTTCACTGAAGGCTCTCACAACAATGCTAGCTGGTACACTGATGCCGATGGGTCCCTAGAATGCTTACTTAGTGGGGGAAGCCTGTACTACAAGCGCCCTGCCCTCCAAAAGATAATCCCAGGTTTTTTTGAGTCTTCCTTCATATCTTCAAGTTCATGAAATGATCTGAACTAATCTCTTCTATTTGCAAAATGACCAATGTGCTCACTCAGCAGAAGCTAAATTTGTGTAGTCGATATATGTCTTTGTGTCCAACATTGTGCCAAGCATTAAATATGACAGAAACACACTCATACAACTTCCATGTACATGACTACTAGCTTCCATGATTTCAAGGAATTAAGTGTAACAGCAGAGACATACATGGAACCATGTGAATACATGGAATGGCAAATAAGTCCTGTGATAGAACATGCTCAGAGGGCACAGTAGAAGAAAGCACCTGGTTCAGCCTGAGGGAGAGATGAGGAAGAGCTTCCAGAAGAGATGATGCCAAAGCTGAGTCCTGCAGACTGGACAGGAAAAGCCATGCCAGGAGGGCATCATGGGTGGGGCACGGAGGTAATGAGAGGACGTGGTCCATTGGAAGATCTGCAGGACTCAACTTTGTGCAGGGTGTCCAGGAGGAGACTTGAGATGCAGGGAGAGGCCATGTTCCACATAGTGACATTTTTGGTCAATGACAGGCTTCATCTACAGCCATGGCCCCATAGGATTATAATGAAGCTGAAGAATTCCTCTCACCTGGTATTTGTGCTCTAAGTGCTGACAGTATTCATCACGGTGCCATGCCATACAGGTTTGTAGCCTTGGTGTGCGGCAGACTAGACCACCTAGGTTGTGTAAGTGCACTCTGATGTTGACAGAAGGATGAAATTGCCTAACAGTGCATTTTTCCAAGCATATCCCCATAGTCAAGCAACACATGACCATGTATATAATTACAAACTATAGTAAGTGCTTAGGAAAAAGGCTGATGCTGTTCTAGCAGAGACTTCCCGGGGGCTTTGTGCCAAGCATCTGCACCATGCTGTGAAGGTTGAGCAGGAGTCCTCCGGGTGACGGAGGAGGAGCCTAGGGGAAGCATCCTCACTGGTGGAAGACTTCTTGTACCCAAGCCTTGGTAGCTACAGAAACTTGAAACATGCACAGCCCAAAGTGTTGGGGCTGAGAAGGAGGCATGCATTTATTTAGCATGTTGCCAAGTGCCTGCTCTCGGGGGTGGACTATACCCTTCTTGGTTGTTATTATTTCTTCTTCATCTTTCAGCTTCCTCTTACATACTCGCCTCCTTGACTTCTGGCCCTGCTTGTCCACTTGGAAATGTGTTGATCTGTCTCACCAGCTTCCCTCTCCACCCTTGTTCCTGTTCATAGCTCATGAGCAACGTGATATGACTTTCCTATTGTTTTATAAAAGAATAAGCTTTGAATTGAAATTAAACACAATAAAAAAATTCCATCAACTCCCAAAACCACTGAAAGCTGCTCTGAGAGGCACCAGAAAGTCTCTTTCACTTTTCTTTCTGTCCTCTCATTAATTTTGTACTTCCTTAGGGGATATCAAGATAATGAAAATGAATATGACATTGCTTTCTTTGTTCTGTTTAATTTGCTGACATCTTAAAGTGCTTTTTTTCTTAAGAAAGAAACACGGATAATGGATAGGAGAGACTTAATGTGAAGGCAGAGGACAGAGTCTGAAAGCCAGGTGCGCTGACGTGGGCAGTTGTCTAGATATGATCCCAGGGCTAAAATGCCAGGGACTAAAATGACCACCACCAGCCTCGGCCCTTGGGCATGTAAGAAATGAGTGTGTGCAGAGCACTCCTCAGTGCCATGTAGCAGGTGAGCAGGCTTGGGAAAGAAGGGAACAGGTAAAGGCCAGGAGCTCCGCAAGGCTTTGTGGGTGAAGGGCCCTTTGCATGGGGCCTATGCAGTCTAAGGAGCCCTGGGAGTCAAGGTCCCAGTGGCTGGGTGTGTCAGAAGAAGGTGCTTTTTCCTTGAGGACAGGGCCTTTGAACCTGGAGAAATAATTGGGGGTCAGATTCTAAAGGCCCTAACTGTACTATTGGTTTTATTTAGGAAGCAGCAAGGAGCCATTAAAAACATCGGAGATCATTTGAGTTATCATTACTCTTTAGAAGAAAATTTTGATCTCAGATATTAGAAACCAGCAGTATCCTAAATACATTAACGTAAACTGGCTTGGTGGGCATCCCTGTGAATAAGTTACATTTTTCTCCATACTAAACTGTTGAGTATGATTACAAGGGGCAAGGATTTGTGGGTACAGAATATTTTTAACAACTTTTTTATGACAAAATTCAAAACACTTTTAAAACATGCATACGTGTGAACTCTGATTTTTTTTTTTTGAAAGAGAATCAGAAGCATGTCTAAAGTACTTGGGCTTTCTTTATTTTTTTCTACTATGAAAGGGAAACATGATTTTATTACAAGTTAGTTGCTTTGATGTGTTTGTAGAAATTGCATCAATGCATTTGATAAAAATAAAAGCCCTTTAGTTCTATGAAGCATGGCTTTGCTATTTTATGTTAACATTGACTGTTGTCCCAGTCTGTAATTATTTTTGTTAAAAAATGACTTTTTATGTACTATACAAATGTTATTTGGATAACAGCATTTGAATTTCCTCTTGTCTTTTTATTATAATGCATTCATGACTTTTTCTTGAAAATCTTATTTGTAGTAGTTTGGTGTTATATTTCTTTATCACGTGACTGAAGGGACATATTTACTTTTGATTGGACATGTAATAGGTATAATAGAAAAAGATAGCTTAAGACTATCTCGAATGGTAGGTTTGGGAGAGCAAATCTGTGGAAACCTTAAAAAAAGAAATCCCAAATATATTCTTAGACAGAGTTTGGTAAACTTTTTCTGTAAAGGACCAGATGGTAATATCTTAAGGAGCTGCATATGTTTCTATCACATAATCTTTGGTTTTTAAAAACTCTTAAAAGAGTAACCTCTTTCAGGTCTCCTGCTGTGGGAGCTTTTCTGTCTTCTTAATAAATCCTACCTTCTAAAGGAAAAAGAAAAACAAAACAAAAACTCTTGAAAAATACAAAAATCTATTTTTGGCTCAGAGACTGTATAAAAACTAGCCCTTGGGTCTGCTCTCTAGAAGGTGAAAAAGTTAGTTTACCATAGTCACAAAGTTTTCAACACTTAGTTCACAGTAGTAAGTCGTCCAACTTGCCACTTATTCTTTGGTTCTTGGAATTGTCTTAAGCCAAGCACTGGATATGATGCTACGTCTTAAGAAATTACCTTCACTCAGATCGGTGGGTGCATCAATTTGAAGGACTACTGAATAGAACATCAAAAAGAGATGCCCATTTAATAGGCATGTATTAAGGAAACTGCATAAATGAACTGCATAAACTCCATGGACCGGCCAAAGTGGCTGCACATGTAAATGGCTGCTTAAATTTGCCAAGGTTTTACAGCTAGATTTACCAGAGAGCAACTGGCCTTGGGAGAGTTGGCATGGCTGGTTGGATGAAAAGACAGTGCCGGTTCCAGGGTGTCTGATTATAGAAAATGTTTTAACTGCTTGTTGTGACAATACCTTTATGCTTTGTGAGTGTAACAAAATGTATGGTTAAAAATAAGTGTATATAAGCAAAATTTCATATGTGAGATATAATGGACAAATTGGATAAAAAGTTTCTTCATCTTGAGAAGGACAATCTCAAGAAATGAAAGAAAATGAAGGATAAAGTCTAGTCATCTAGAATCAACTTACTGTATCTTTCAGACTTTAAACTCCCATGCCACCCCTACCCTAGGGAAGGATCTTTCAAGTCTTTTTTTGAGTAAAACATCATTTGCTTACCCCTCTGGGTCGTCACTTCATTTTAGATATATTGACTATTGCATTTTTGCTACTGACATTTAGAATAATTAAAAATGGGTAGATGAAGATTTTTAACATACACGTGATAAGAAGCTGCTCTATTAAATGATTAAGCACAGATGTAAACACTGAGAAATGTATGTCAATGTTTTCTCTTGGCTTCAGGTTCTGGGCATCCAAGTGAAATGCTTCCATGAGATTATCACTATAGGTTACAGAGTCTATCATTCTTATGACCTACCATGGTTTAGAACACTAAGTTGGTAAGTACGCTTTAAACTGTTTCAGATGTGAAAATCTGATTTATTTCTAAGGTTTTTAAAGGAAGCATCCTAATCATCAATATCCATTCAGTTTACCTTATAGATTGATTTTGGAGAAAGAGAAGTCAAAGAATGTAATTGAATTTTGAAAAGAATAAAATTACCTTTATCTTTCCCATTGCAGCTCAACATTTTTTATATTTCATATTTATGTCTTTATAAATATATCTAATTTATATTGAATATAAACACCATTCTTGTCCTTCAAAAAAGTATTAAACAGCTGGGCACAGTGGCTCAAGCTTGTAATCTCAGCACTTTGGGAGGCTGAGGCAAGAGTATTGCCTGAGCCCAGGGGTTCGAGATCAGCCTGGCAACTTGGTGAGACATCATCTCTACAATAAATTTTTAAAAATTAGCCAAGTGTGGTGGCACATGCCTGTAGTTCCAGCTACTGGGAAGGCTAAGGCAGAAGGATTGCCTGAGCCCAACAGCTCGAGGCTGTGTTGACCGTGAGTGTGCCACTGCACTCCAGCTTGGGTGACAGAGTGAGACTCCAACTCAAATAAATAAATAAATAAATAAATAAACACTAAACATTGTATTGGGCACATGTTTATATCCTTTACTGTAGTTATTTTAGCAAAAGGTTTACTCATGATTTTGCTTTATTTCCCTTCAATTGACATGAGGACATACAAAATATTGTATATATAAAAATGCATACAAAGTTAGGAAAAAAAAATCACCAAATGATTTAACATTTAAAATCTTTAAAAAACTTTATGGGCTGGGCTTAGTGGCTCAGCCTGTAATCCCAGCACTTTGGGAGGCCAGGCAAGTAGATTGCCTGAGCCCATGGGTTCGAGACCAGACCATCTTGGCAAGACCTCATATCTACAATAAATCAAACATTAGCCAAGTATGGTAGTGCGCTCCTGTAGTTCCGGCTACTTGGAAGGCTGAGATGGAGGGATTGCCAGAGTCCAGACGTTGGGGTGGCCGTGAATGTGCCATTGCACTTCTAACCTGGGCCACGGAGTGAGACTCCAACTCAAAAAAAATTTAAAATAAAAATAAAACACTTAATGGGTATAAGTCATATCTGTGAAGACTTTGACCAGGAGACATGATAATATAATAGTTCATATTTAACCTAAGTGGCCATGCCTTTTAATAGAGTTGATTAGTGTCAGCCAAGGAACTAGTGTCTTATTAAAGCACTATTCTTTTAGAATAGTCAAAAAGAAGTTTCTTGATTTTGATGATAGCTAATTTTTTCCCGCTAGCAGGTTTCTTCTCGATTGGCAAAGTGTACAGAAAATGTTTAGATAGGTTAGGTAATTGGAGAATAATAAAATGTGAAACCATGCAGGATTGACTCTTAAGTGTAGAAAAAAAGATAAATCAGATGGGCTCTGGTTGCAGAAGGCTTCATAGAAGAGGTAGTAGATAAGCTGGCCCTGGAAATAAAGACAGACTTTGGACAGAGAAGAGTTGGGGCACTCTATTCAGGTTGGGGCACTAGCACCTGTCAGTTTCTAGATGTGGGATGGACATACCATGTTCTATTGATGGTAAGGCATTCTGGGCCTACCTGAGCAGAAAGGATTTATTAGGGAATAGTGGGTGAACAGTGGATTAGTTAGTGGACTACGTCAAGTCTTGATCACCCTACACAGGAGTCAAAGTCAGTGTCCATTGAAAAAACGGGAGGATGATAATGTAGTTGGTGAAAACGAGAATACCTCCCCTTTACTTTAGCGTCTAATTCACGAGAACCAAAGAGAAATCACCTCTCTCCCTTCCATAGCTCTGCTAGCCAGCTAGTACTCTGCCCTTCAAAGGACGAGGCCCAGAGGAGCTCTGAGGCAGCGTTCTCCGCCCATTTCCTGGCTCACACAAGCTCTCACCAGCAAAATCTCAGTGGGTTCAACCTCTTCTTGGGGAGGGGACAGGTGAGATTTGTGCTGCTAGCTCCCACCGCGCTCAGCTGGCCAGTGTGTGCAGTGCAGGGGGAGGGGTTGAATTACCTTTTCCTTCCTTCCCTCTTAATGTTCCATAGGGAGATGAGAATTCATCTAAAGAACTCTATTATTAAAAAAGCACTAGAGCTATGGGGAGTTGGGAGCTAATTTTCGCTATGAACTTAATGCAGTGTGTGTGTGTGTTTGTGAAAGTGTGCCGAGGGGGAATATTGTGTGCGTGGGGGTGGAGGAGGGCGTTATTTTCTGCATCGTAATTTTCTATCTGTGACATCAGATTTTGAGCTAAACCGGGCTTGGTGGCTCAGCCTGTAATCCCGCGCCTTTGGGAGGCTGAGGTGAGTGGATTGCCTGAGCCCGCGGTCGAGACCTGCCTGGGCAACTTGGCAAGACCTCATCTCTGCAATAAATAAAAAATGAACCAGGTGTGGTAGCCCGCGCCTGTAATTCCAGCTACTCAGAAGGCTGAGGCGGAAGGACCCCCGGAGCCCAGCAGGTCGAGGCTGCGGTGGCCGGGAGCGGCCACTGCACTCCAGTCCTCCAGTCTGGGTGACGGAGTGAGACTCCAACTCAAAAAAAAAAGATTTTGAGCTAAATAAAATGAGCTATATTCAGTAAATGTTTGTTGATGGATAAATTTGAAATTAAGTTTAAAACAGGGAAAGCGCATTATGATAGAATATACCTTGAATTGGTCTTCTGCCCTTGATTTTGATCTTTGTGTCATCATCAGAATGTAGAAAATAATTCTGTTGAGTTTGAGAGGAAGGAAAGCCTCAAATATAAAAAAACAAATTGTTTTTAAACTACAGGTACTTTCTGCTGTGTGTAAACTACTTTTTCTATGGAGAGACAGTAGCTGATTATTTTGCTACATTTGTTCAAAGAGAAGAACAACTTCAGTTTCTTATTCGCTACCACAGATTTATCTCATTCGCCCTCTATCTGGCAGGTAAGTTAAGGAAAATACTCTGTATCATTATGTAGCTAGCATATTTTCCATGTTTATTTTTATTTATGTTATTTAAATTCACAGTGTCCTTTATTTGTTACATTTTTATTCTAGCCTTTCTTTTTAATCATTTCCTATGTATAAAGCTATTTCTTTCAAATACTCCTGACTGATGACTTAAGAAAATACTTATTAAAAGTCACCCCATATATCTGAAAATTTTGACTGCTAACTGTAGTAAAGAAACTTTTAAATATATAGTGATTATTAACCAAATGTAATTTACAAAGAAATTTTTACACACATATTGCTTGATTTGTTCCTAAGAAATAGAGCTTTTTCATATAGAATGAATTAGGCCAATTAGTTTTCCAGACATGGTTTATTACATATGCAACTTTGTGTATAGTACACTGTGCCACGTATTTTTATTATTTTAAATTAAAAATTAGATTTTTAGGGTAAACTTAGAATTAACAAATTTATTTTCCATAAAATTTTACCAATCTTAAAATAAACTGTAAGAAATTGATTTTATCACATACTTTTTGTTATTTATTTGTTTATTTTTAGTCAGAGTCTCACTCTGTTGCCCAGGTTAGAGTGTGGTGGCATGCTCACGGCCACCACAGCCTCGATTTGCTGAACTTAGGCGATCCTTCTGTCCCAGCCTTCCAAGTAGCTGGAACTACAGACGTATGCTACCATGTCTGGCTGATGTGTTGTTTTTTTTTTTAATTGTAGAGATGAGGTCTCACCAAGTTGATCAGGCTGGTCTCAAACCCCTGAGCTCAGGCAATCCTCTTGCCTCAGCCTCCTAAATTGCTGGGATTACAGGCTTGAGCCGCCGCGCCCAGCTAACAGCCAGATTGCTTATGTGAATTCTGGTCCCACCATTGACTAGATGAGTAAACATTGGGTTATTTAGTTAATTTCTTAGTGCATCAGTTTATTTGTAAAGTACTTAGAACAGTAACTGGCACTATTTAAATATTGTTATTATTTTCACTTTGAAAGGAGGAGATGAAGTTTTTCTGAGTTTTTACCTTAACTGTTAATAGTCATTGTTTTAGCTCCTAGAAATTTCTTAGTAAACACATTTTTCTTGTTAGTACAATTTTGGAAACTGAATGTAGTATAGGCACTTCCTTTCCATTTCTTGTTAACCCAAAAATATAAGCCAGGCACTATGGCTCATACCTGTAATCCCAGCAATTTGGGAGCCGAAGTGAGAGGATTGCTTTGAGCCCAGGAGTTTGAGATCCACGTGGGCAACATAATGAGACCTCGTCTCTACAAAAAACAAGAAAAATTTAGCTGTACATGGTGGCACCCGCCTGCAATCCCATCTGCTTGGGAGACAGGCAGAAAGATTGATTGAGCCTCGAGGTTGAAGCTGTGGCGAGCTGTGATCCATCCACTGCCCTCCAGGCTGGGTGACAGAGTGATGCCCTGACTCAAAAGATAAAATAAAGTAAAAATTAAAAATACAGAGCATGTGGGAAACATGTCCATCCTTTAGAAGTATTCTATTCTGACTGGGTGCGGTGGCTCACATCTGTAATCCCACCACTTTGGGAAGCAGATGTGAGAGGATTGCCTGAGGGGTTCGAGACCAGCCTGGGCAACTTGGCAAGACCTTGTCTCTGCAATAAATAAAAAAATTAGCCAGGTGTGGTGGCACGAACCTGTAGTTACAGCTACTTAAAAGACTGAGGTGGAAGGATTGCCCAAGCCCAACCAAGCTGTGGTAGCTGTGAGCATACCACTGCACTCCAGCCTGGGTGAGAGAGTGAGACTCCTACTCAAAAACAACAACAACAACAACAACAACAACAAATATATATATATATATATATATATATATATATATATATATATATACACACCATTCTGTTCAGTAATTATAATGTTATTCTCCATGGTGCTCCGACTTTAATAACATCTTCTCTAGTTTCTAGGCCTTCTAACTCTGCAAAACCAGAGAGTGAAACACAATCTGAAATCATGGCAGTTTTCAGAGAATTGTTTTGGTTATTTGGGGAAGGAAGGCATACATTTTCTAAAGGATTTTTCTCCTTTTACATTCAGATTTTTTGTTCAGTGCAGTTTTCTGAATTTATTCCTTCATTTAAAAAAATCTTACTGATATAGCTACAGAAAGTACATTCATAGAAATAGATATTGAAAAATATTTCGGCCATTACCTTGCTAGACTCTGGTGTGGCCATGTGCTCTTTGAGCTTTGGCTGTCACCATGCTTCCTGGCTTTGGTCCCCTCCCCCACCTTGGGGAGGTATATCTCTCTCCCTTCTCTTTCTCTAATTTACTTTTAAATAAACTTTTCTTGCTTAAAAAAAAAAAATTTCTACTCTTTTGAGTATTTGGTATTCATTTGGAGGTAGTTGGTCCATTTCAAATTCTGACCAGTATGAAGGATTATGATCTTAGAGAGATTACTATGATTGGTATCAACTAAGAAGAGCATACTAAAAATTTGAAGAGTAAAACACTTGCCTCTTGGAGACTGATCATTTTGTCTCACTTACCAAACCAATAATCTTAATTTATTTTGTTAACTGTAAGGTAGAATCTGAGATGAATTCTTTCCTATTAAAGAAGAGAAGAATGTAGTGTTTTCTCAGTTTACATTTAAAGTGATAAGACTTCCTTTCTGGTATTTTGAGTTTTAATAATAATATTAGCAAGAAAAGTGTCTATGATATCTTCTATTATTGAACACCAGAATTTCTTTATTTCATGTGATTATAAATATTTAATAACAATCATGATTAAATAAAATAGAAATCATTTGTATCATATGTGTGTGTGTGTGTGTGTGTGTGTGTGTGTGAGAGAGAGAGAGAGAGAGAGAGAGAGAGAGAGAGAGAGAGAGAGAGAGAGAGACATATACCAGTTTCAGGCTGGGTGCTATGTCTTGTACCTGTAATTCCATCACTTTGGGAGCCCAAGGAGAAAGGATTACTTGAACTCAGGAGTTCAAGACCAGCCTGGACAACATAGTGAGACCTTGTCGCTACAAAAAAAATTCAAGAAATTAACTGAATGTGGTGGTGTGCACCTGTAGTTCCAGTTACTCGGGAGACTGAGGCAGGAAGATCGCTTGAGCTCAGGAATTTGAGACTGCATTGGCTGTGACTCCAGCCTGGGTGACAGAGTGAGACCCTGACTCAAAAAAAAAAAATCATTTTCAAAAGAATGATAATGTAAACAGCATCCTTGCACCCCACTACTTTCAGAGTTGTTCCTTTTCTTAAAGTAATAATGCCTGTCCTAATTTATTTTAGGAATTATCTATTGACTTCCTTTTACAATCCCTTTCATTCCTCCATACTCAGTTTTTCATAGCATCATATACATTTTTAAATAGGTTCCTAGAATATCACTTGCTGTAGAGCTGAGTAGTGTCTATGATTATATTTCCATTCTTTTACTTTTTGTTTTTCCTGAACTGAGTAAACTGCCTCACCTCTTTTCTGTATTTATTAATTCTGGTGTAGAGATCCTTAATTTTTCGTTCAGGTGTGTCCCGTGTCTATTGTTAGTTTTAAAGATGTTCACACAAATCAGATAGTGTATCAATTCTCTTTTTTCCTGGAGACCTCTGTGCCAGAGACCTCTGCGTTCCTATTCCTGTTAACTGTCCTTAGGACTTAGGCCTCCTGTTTTTTCCATCCCATGCCTTTCATTGCTTGGTTAACACCCTCTCTGCTGAAAGCATGGCCTACAATAATTTCTTATGCAAGGATGCATCGAAGGTAAATGTCTTATGTTCATTTATTACTAAAGATATTTATAGTCCATTCTCACAACTGATTGCTTTGGCTTGGGCTCACATTTACTGTTAGACTTTGACTTGATACTCCAGTGCAGAAGCCCAGGCTTCATCCTTGCCTTCCACTTGGCCTTTTCTGCTTAGTTTCTTTAGAAAATATCTTTAGTCATACTGATATCTCAGCTCTGCTAAAAGTTACCCATCTGTTTTCCAGCTTCCAAACTTTGCAGACCATTTTTTTCCTTTTATTTTCTCCTTGACGTTTCTTCACTTCTCTTAGTTCTTGTGGGGTTTCCCCTTAATTTCTCTCAATGTTATTTTGTGAGATACCAGGACAGAATACAAGCTACCATTTTAAAATAAACATCCTTGCCTAGTTTTTAAAGTTTTTCCTTTGCCTTAAAACAACAATTTGCTGTTTTCCTCCATGGTCCTGTAGATTGACTGGATCTCACCAGGTGGTTCTCACTCATCTGGCTGCAGTCAGGTGTAGGCCTGTGCTCAGGGTTTTTACATCTTGAGTGGGTGAGACATCCAAGATGGCCCGCTCTCACAGCTGCAGGGAGTTCTGGCTGCTGACTGGAACACCACTGGGTGGCCTTTCCACATGACTTGGATGGCACAGGAGCCCGGCTTCTTATGGGGAATGTGTCAAGCACGTGTTTTAAGAGTTCTACACTATTTTTTTTTTAGGTGATTTTGAAAAATGGAAACATATATCCATAGTAAAAATTTAGACAAAAAAAAAAACCTATTCAGTGGTACTTGATTCCTACCTCAGAGCCTTGCTTACACTCTACAGGGCTTACTACTCTTATTCCAGACATTTTCTTGGTATTTGAGCTTGTGTGTTTATATCCCTCTCCCAATTTCCTTATACAAATAAAAGTATATTATTCTGCACCTATTTTTTCCTTATTGTAGCTTGTAGATGGTTTTATGTTGGCACAGCTACTTCTGTCTCATTTCTCCCTATCTGCAGCTACACCTGTATTGATGTTCAGCAGTATCTGATGGGTAGAATGTCAGCATGTAAGGTGACTACTGTTTTCTTGGCTATTTTCCCCTTTGTGGTTTGCCATAACTGAAAGTAGCTGAGGACAACGTCTCAACTGAGTGGAGACAGATAGTATAATTTGTTTGCTTTATTGTTTCTTTTCACACATTTCATATATGATAGCCTTCCCATCAGCTCCTTTTTAGT